TAGATAGATAGATAGATAGATAGATAGATAGATAGATAGATAGATAGATAGATAGGATCACAGTGTCAAAATATTGTTCAGTCATTTTGCAGAACTTGAGAAAAATATTTTTTGTGTTAAGAGTTTCTAAGTATTGTGTGCTATAGGAGTATAATGTCCATTCCAGCCCTATCTTGTTAAATTGCAGCTTATTATTGTTAAAGTTTGAAGGATACAGGTAGTCCTTGTTTAAACTGCCTCGTTTAGTAACCGTTTGCAGTTACAACAATGATGAAAAAGTAATTTTACAAACAATCCTCGCATTTACGACCTTCACACATCTGTAAAGCAAAGGAAAGCTGAAGTAAGATCATAAGCACAGTCATGGGTTCACTTAGTGACCACTTCACTTAATGACAGAGTTGCCGGTCCCAATTGTGGTCACTAAACGAGGACTACCTTTATTTTCTAGTATCCAGTATAGTGTGCTATAGAAATATAATGTCAGTTCCAGTCCAACCAATTTTGGAGTTTAATGCTGTTAGAGTTTAGAGGACATTTTTAAAATTAGCTATTATTAAGGCATAAAGCATAGCAAATAATGATCACTTTGTGCTCTGTAATTTATTCAAAATTTAATAAGCTTAGGTAGAACATTAGGATAATTTTTTTTCTTTTCAGGTCTCAGAAAGATAGGAAATATTAGGGAACAAAACTGCTCTTAAATTCAAGGTACAGCCAAGCAATTTTGCTGTAGTTTAAATCTTCTTTATTATTGCTTGTTTTTCTGTACTGTTTTGCATCACTGTGCAGAAGTTTTTGCATAAAAATGAAGTGTGACTCACCTTGGAAAGCTCAGTTTTGAGGTATGTTACACCTTTATCTTTTATCATAAGTTTTATGGTAAAATGTATACAATTAAATTCAGTGGCCTTTGGCCGTAAAATAATAGAGTGGTCGTAGCACATAATGAAAGCACACTCTATGGCCTTATTGATGCTATCAATTAAAACAAATAAATTAGTGCTGTTTTCCCCTCTTACTTCGAAGTTAAAATCCTTGACTTCCCAGTAAATATTGAGGCTAATGATGAAACTAGACAGTTCTCATTTCTTGTATATAATGTTTTGAATAATAAAGTACATTTCTAACCTGTCCCGGTAAGGATGAAAACAGTGAATCTATCATCTGTTTAAAATCATCGTCATCATCATCTAAGGAAAGCACTCTCCACAGCTATAAAATACCCGTAAGAACATTTCTGCATTTCTTTTTTGGTTTTGGTTTTGGTGTTTTTTTTTTTGCCTGGACTTTACCATCAGTGTTATTGCTTAGATACAGTCGGGGGGGTTTTAGATTACAGTGGGGAAAGAAGGCCTGGCATTTGTGGCCACACACTATAACTCTCTTTACTGACATGGACAATGTAAAGAGATGCTGTGAGGTTCCAGACAGTCAGCACTTGTGTACCTGAATACTTATTTTCCACAACACTGCCGTATTGTTTTGTTTCTAAACTGACACAAGGGTAAGATTTTAATAGGAAACATCCGTGGCTTATTTTTCTGGGGTGTACGCTTGAGAACACAGGAGAGAGGAGGAATCATTTTTTGGCAAAGCCTGTGTTTCAAAATGTATTTCAGCCCAGTAAAATGTGTGACCCCACTTTGAAAAGGCCTTTGGAATAACAGATAAGTAGTGCCAGACATCTATTTCTTTTTCTCTGCAAAGAGCAGTCTCTCTTTTCTCCCTCCCCTGCAGCCTATTTTTTGTGGTAGGTAGAAAAGAGATGTTTGGTTCAACCTTGTCTGTGCTGGCAGTTTGCCACCCAGCTGCTGCTGTTACATTTCTCTCTCACAAGAGGATTAAGTGTATTGGCCCCTCTATTCTTAGCAAGCATTTCGGTGTGCTCTGTCCTTGGTTTCTGTTAGGTGAGTTTAGAGAGATGTACGTGAGCATGTGCCTGTAATTTTGTGGGTGTTCCTGGTTGAATGGAAAGCGCTGATTCTGCCATTCATCCCTCTCAACCTGGTCCTCATACATAGTTTCTCATACAGAAACTAGACAAAAAATAATGCCCAGTGTACAGATACCTTTTGCATTCTAGGAATGAGAATACTGACAATCTTGCGCTGAACAAGGAAATGCTGACATTCTTGTATTTGCCTGATTACTTTCCAAGATTCCTTTGAGTGCTAAGCAGCAAACATCCACATCCCCTAAGAAGCTTTTTTGACAAACTGACGCCCTGGAGGACCCTCAGATGTCTTAGGCACACTTTGCAAGGTTGCTCTTAACATGGAGAAAGCTTTGGAAGGCCATTTGGAAGTGTACATAAAAAGAGTCAAGTGTGCAAAGACTTCATTTTATAGGTAAGTAGTGTTAGATGATGTAAGTCAAGTGTTTCCAGGAAGTTCCAGAGTCTGCATTGACTCACAGTCTGCATTCTAACCCTTGTTTGCAAATCTAACATTGTAACTGCAAGTATTTTGTTAAAAATCAGCTGTGGACAATTGTTGAAAAAGAAGGAAAAAGAAAATGGACACAAAAGTGGTAAACTGCCTCTTCCTAGCAGTGTTAACTTGACAATGTCAAATTAAACCCTGTAGGAGGTGCTGTTGGTTTACAAATGTGTGCAAACATCTCCTATTAGCATTTGTTTAAAACACACAAACACAGAGTCCCACTCCCAGCCACAAGATGAAAGTGGCGCACGGTGCGTTTGTTAGCAGATCTCTACCCACAGAACACTTATGGGGAAACAGAGCAATCTACAGTATTAACTTTCTGTGCCTAACTTAAAAAAGAGTCAATGATAGCATCTCCTAGATATACAAATCTGAGACAAAGGGCATTCCACAAACAGCATTTCTTTTTTCCTGCAGAAAAAACTAACTGTTAGATGGTTCTTGCTTCAGTCTAAAGCTTGGGATTATGTGCTGAGATCCAGATGTTCAGCCCCCCTTCCAAAAAAAGAGGTATTGGTTGTTTTCCTTGATACACTTCCTCTTCTTTATTTTAAGCATGACTGAGTTCATTGACCAAATTTTCTGAATTAGCAAAAACATTGCACTATAAACTAAACATACAGGTTAGATTCACAAGGCTAACACTGAAATCTTTTAAGGCAACTTCCCCCAGTCCTCAACCTGAGGCTGAGTTCAAGATGTTTGGGAACTCCAGCATCTCCCTAGCCTGGAGGTTCTCAGAACAGAAGTCCTACCCAACTGGAAGGTGCAAGGGTAGAAAATTTCCCCAGGATATATTTACCAAGTCTTCCAACTAAACATACTACATGTACTTCTAGAAAACATTGCACTTCTAGTAGGGCTAGAGCAGTGAAGGGGAACCTATGACGTGTGTCAAAGGTGACATGCCACAATATTTTGGGTGACACACCAGTGTTCACCAACACCTGACAAGAACTATTGTCCCTGTTTGAGTTACTAATGACACTGAGATTGTTTTACTCATATTTCGTTTTTGTAATTATTTGACATTTCTTTATATAATACACAGCACCACACATGATTAGACTGTTTTTTAAAAAAAAAAATGTAAAGAACTCTTTCTCTTTTGCTCCGGGGTGTGTGTGTGTGTGCGTGTGACATGCCAGCACAGTCAAATTAGGCATTTTCTGAATTTTTGACACGCCAAGCCCAAAAGGCTCGCCATCACTGAACTAGAGTCTCATGCATCACTGCAAATCCACATTGACAGGCTGATTGCATTAGGTTACTCTGAAACAGAAGGGTCTTGAGACATCATACCTTATTGGGGACCAGAAGTTAGGTAACCTGAGTGTACTTTCGGTCGGGGCGGGGGGGGGGGAGGGCGTTTAGGGATACCGCTCTAGTCCCCATGTCAAAGCATCTCGACTCTACTGGAATCCTGTATACCACTTAAACCAACTTCATTCCATGGCTGCCGATGATTGCATTTTAGGGGTCGGTGTTATTTCTTCGGGGGCTATGATAGGAACTTCAGGTATTTGCAGGAAAAATCAGGGGGCCTGATTCTCAAGCTCATAGGAGCCCTCAAATTTAGACACTTGCTATTTTTATTTTGGCTTTAAAACATTCAAATTAACTGTCACTCTTTTGGAGGATAACAGCGCTCCTTTACCGCGGTCACTGTATTTCAGCGAGCGATCCCTGTCTTCACACTTATGGAAAGGCAAGGAAATCATTAATTCGGGCTCTTCCTAAGCGTGCATTTGTTTGCTGAATGATGAGCCATGCGGGAAAGAGGGGAGGAGGTTTTCCTCCCGCAGCTTTCCAAACCAGATTCCAAAGTCAGCCAAACTGGAGTCACAAGAACGCCTCTTTGTTCGCCGGCGCTTCAAGAGG